AATATTTCAAAAGTAATTATGCAACAAATGATTTTTATATGAAAGTTGAGCTGATTGTGATTCAAGGTTTTCAACACATTCTCGACTTCATTGCATTTCTCAACTATTTTTTAATTCATATAGTTTGTTTCGCATTGTTTCTGTTCTCATCGAAGCTTGTATATGATAATTGTTGAACTGTTTGAGCATTTTCTGAAAAACTTTGAGCTATGGATTCAATTTGTTCACGAGGAACTTGCTCAAAACTTGATTATTGAACAATATTACCAGCATGCCATAGCATTGTTGTTAATTTATTTTCAGCTTGATTCAATTGATCGAGACTTTGAGATGTTGCATTTGCGAAATCCGTCATGTTCGAAACAATATAATAGTCTACCGAAAAATCGAGTAAAAAAATCAAATCAATATCAAATAGCAAATACACTTAGGCACTTAGTTGCCCTAATTTCTGAAATTTCTATCATATTTTCAAAGAGTGTGAGTGAGAATGTGGTTTAAAAATTGGATAAATTAGCTCAGTGCTCCTTACTATTTTATTTTAAGTCAGTTTATGTATATAATTGTCTTGATGTTGCATATCTTTTTTCAACAAAAAAATTAACGTCTTTCAAATGTTAACAAATTACGATATGCATATATTTGGTAGAAATAAAAAGCGTCGAAAGAAAAAATATCAAAAGTATTATTAAAGCACATTTAGCACACATTAATCATATGCAAATGCAGGATATAGATCCTTCTTTAGATTTTTCACGCGATGTTGATGAACAAGTATGTTGAAGCTGCATTAATAGCACTTTCAATATTTTTTACTTTCGGAGTCTTTTATTTCTACCAAATTTATGCCATTCAAAATTAGACATGCAATAATATCGTTCTGTTAGATTTCTTTCTTTAATTAGATTATGTAGAACTCACAAACGAAATATTGAGATCTTTGATTGATTTAGCAGCAATATGAGCAAATCTTTAATTGAAAGATGAGACTTTTGACAAAGCTAAGATATGGAGAATATGAATTACGCGATAACTGATTAGGTATACAAACAAATGCAAACATGAGAGGTGAGACACCATTATTGTGTAGTCACAGATTTATTTTGCATTTCTGCGGCGACAGATAGATATATCACGTTTCCTATCTAACCTGTACATAAGCTATCATGATGAAGTCGTGTATCAGAACTATATTGATGCATGTCTAATGAAATTCTCTTTTAAATTTCTTCAACACTCTGCATGTCCAAAATCAACATATGGTGTGAAACGCGGTTTTTCGCATCCATAGCAAGATTCACGAAATGCTGAGAGTAGAAGAGTATGCAGATGCAAAAATTCATGTAAATAACATATTACTTTGTCGATTTGATTATGTGCAACCGACAAAGAATTAGTGACCACTGCTTAGTTCCTAAGAAACTATGATAGGTATTCCGGACGTTGTCAAACAACTTGCTAATTTCGATTTGTAAATTTTTAAGACTTTTTTGCGCCTGTAAGTCAACTAAATCTTAGCTACACCATAAAAAGTTGATCGCTATAAAATCTCATGTCTAAACTTATAATTTTCAGAATATATTAGAAGTCCAGTGCGCTTCTATTCCGTAGAAGAGTTTATGTGGAGAACGAAATACATGTATCACTCACATGCACACCCACACCCAAACCTACCTCTATTAACTGCGTTACAGTGATCTCGAAGACATTGTGTACGAATACGTGCATATACATTTATAGCGTACAAATGATATTAACATATGTCAGAGCTTTGTGCGGAATGAAATACTCCCATTTCATGGAACAAGACAGTGAGTAAATATTTTGATAAATAGCCAAAGAACAGAATACTAACATACAGAAAGAGAAAAACAGACAGAAAGTATACATAGACGACAACGTAATCTAATTTTAGTATCATTTTTTCGAAGGAACAGCCCTCACTGAATTTTTATTAGGATGTGGGTGTAGGCACGTGGCTGGGCCTGCAAAGATGATCTACATGTACACTCATAGCAATAATCATGATCAAACCCTGATCCACAGTCTTATATAAACTACATTAATACATGTTGAGTGTGGGTGTGGGGTATGGAGTGTGGGTAGGTGTGGGTGTGAGGTGTAGTGTAGGTGTGGGTGTGGGTGTGGGTGTAGGAGTGTGGGATGTGGGTGAGTGTTGGTACTGACTCGCAAATTCCCTTCAAACAGATACACCCAAAATCATAGCCACATGCACACCTGCACTCACACCCCATGAAACGAAATTTAAGAAAAAATTCTAATCCAAAAGTAATTGATCTGAAACAATATAAAATAATTATCGATTTTGGAATAGGTTTTTTGAATTTATATTATACACTTGAATTCGATGTGAATTTGTTCAATTCAGTTGGATTATCATTCAAAATCGACCAATCTTATTCATGTCACAGTAGCGACATCTGTTCAAAAAATAAATCTTTTTGTCATCCTTACATTTTTATAAGTATGTAGAGAAAATTGCAATATACAAAAGATTTCATCCCTGCTAAGATAAATTTCAGAGTCTTTCTAATTAATTGGCATTTTTACAACTGATTACCGAAAATCGTTGATTGGATAACGATTTATCACCTGATTTATCGCCAATTATGGAGGTATCGTTTCTCTTTCCTTAACCGCGAGGAAATCTGATTTTATCATCGATTTACCTACCATATACAATAAATCACGGTTTTAGGCCGATGTTTTTGAAAATCGACAGAATTACCACGATTTTCATGACATGGAGTCTCACACCCTTTTTACCTGGTTCAAGTTGTGGCATTTTAATCAATTTTTAATCTATTTTAATTTGACTTGTTGCTAAAACTTTTTACATAGGTAGTCTTACGAATTAACAAACGCCATCCTGCTGCTGACATTTATTAAAAAATATAAATACTGTGTTTGCTTCATTTTTTTCACTTGAATAAAATATGCACTCGGTATTAAAAGGGTGTGGGTGTGATTTTAAAGTAAATACGAATTAACAATGTGGTAATAGTAAGGAGAACGAGTAAATCAGTAAATAAATAAATGAATAAACAAGTGAATGTATTAATAAAAAAAAGAAAAAATTATTTAGTAATAAATAAATAAATAAATAAATATAGAAAAAATGAATGATATTCAAGAAAAATTGAATAAATAACAAATAAATTAATTTTTATTTGAATTTAAATTGTGTTTTAGTTTTTTTTGTTGTACTTTTTTGAAAATTTTATATGTTTTGGTTTGTTTTAGTGCTTTATAGAACTTTTTAGAATAAAAGAGCTAATTTTATTTGAATTTAAGAAAAATGAACAGATTTAAATGAATTTCAGAGACTTTACAAAAGTTAAATAAATTTATAGTTTCGGAATGTGGAAATCTTCAATTTAGTTTGAATTTAGTGAATTTTAGATAAATTGGAATAACTTAGATGGATTTATGAAAAAATGATTTTATTTGAATGAATTGATGGGAAAATGAAGTTTTTTATTGAATAAATTTAAGTTTGTAGATAGAGTATTAATTTGAAAAAATTGAATGAATTTTTAGAGAAATATTGAAAGAGAATCAAATAGAAAATTTATAGAGGGTCCATGAGATGATCGAGGATCGTTCCAATATACGACGCACTCGATAAAATTTTTTTTTCGATTTTTTTTGCTCATTCGAAACTTCAATGTCTAAAACTACTAATCCTAAAATTTTATGTTCATACCCTTCCTATGAAAAGTTAGTCAATACCAACTTTTGGCACTATCGAGGCATTTTGTAAAAAAATAGGAAAAGATATTCTATAAAAGATGTACTGGCTTCCGTTTCAGCAAATCGTTGAAATTTTTCGTGGTATATATGACAAGATAGAGAATTGAAAACTGAATAAAATGAGCTACATTGATATAATATAATGGCTAACAATTTAAGTTTTATAGAGCAAATATGAGTCAAGGGGTGGTATTTCTGAACAGTCCAAATAAACAGTATAATTCGTGTTGTGCTTCAGAATTGAGGAGGCCCAGACTGAATTTAATATATGTTGTGCAGCTTTTTATTCTCTACAAAATGGTAAAAAAATATTTGAAAAAAAGGTTTCTGCTTGATGCGAAAAACGGTTTATACTGTCTACTTTTTCATGGTTTTTGATGGTTTCGGAAAGAAAAATAAAGAATTTTTAGCGATGTTTTTTGTCATAGAATACTACTAGAGAAAAACAAATATGATATTCTGAATCAGCGTGAAAAACGGTATCCAACCATATATGTTTCGCGAAAAACTTTTTCCTGAACAAAATTGACCTGTGGTCCCCCACAGCTATATTTAAAAGAGAATTTTCTCCTTGGCCCCCCTCAGGTGAATTTT